TTGCTGACTTTCTGTCTACAGGGCTGTTCAGCACAGTAATGAGAATAGAATGTTGAAATCTCCAATTACTATTGTAGAACTATTATTTCTTCTCTTAACAGTTTTTGCTGCAGGCATTTGGGAATGCTACAGTTAGATGTATAAACATTTATACCACATTAATAATCGTTAGTCTTCCTTATGTGCTGACCTGTTCACCATTATGAAATGTCTCTATGCCTTCAAAACTGCTTGTTTTTATCATCTATTGTGCATGGCTTATTAATACGACTACTCCCACCTTTTCATTCCTACCGTCTTCTTTACATACTTTACCATCTTTTCCCTTTCAACTTATTTTTATCTTTGAATCTAAGGTGTGCCTGGTACAAGTAGCATGTAGCTGAGTGTTACCTTTCTATCCAGTTTGTCCGTCTGTGTGGTTTAAGTAGAAATGTTTAGTCCACTCACATTTAATGCAATTAGCAATATGAATGGATTTAGATTTGTCATTTTGCTAATTGTTTTACATTTGTTACATAGTTTTTTCATTCTTCCTTTATTACTTTCTTTTGTGATATTTTTTAGTATACAATTTTAAGTCCTCTGGTATTATTGCAATTTGTGGTTATTTTCCTAGCAATTTCACAACTGCCCTAGGGATTATAACATACATCTTCGTTTATCCCAATTAAGCTTAAAGTAAATAATTATTCAAATAAAATAGAAACTATACTCCAATACATGTCTTTTTCCTCATTCTTCCTTTATGCTATTATTGTCATATATAGTTCACCCTTATGTTATAAACCCCGCAAAAGAGTTAGACACTTTTTTAATATTTTGGGACATATTTCAATTCCCAGTATGCTTCAATTTTTCTCAGGGATTAAGATTTTCTTATAAAACAGTCTAAGGGCAAGAAATTCAATCTCTGTTTATCTGGGAATCTCTTTTTTTTTTCACTTTCACTTTGGTAGACCTGTTCTGCTTGATTCAGAATACTTGCAGAACAGTTTTTTCTTTCAGCAATGCCTGTGGGTCTCTACTACTTCTGATGAAACTTAGCTGTTACAGATAATAAGTGCCTCCAGGTGTGATGACATTTCTTTCAGTTTCCAAGGTTCTGTATGCACCTTGGGTTTTCAACAGTTTACCATGCACCGACTGGCCTTGTGTTTCCTATTGGGGTCACCTCAGCTTCTTGAATCTACAGGTTTTTAAACAAAATTTGGAAAATTGTCTGGTGTTATTGTTATGGCTTGTATCTATAGATCCTACCAGAGTTTCCTGTGTTCATAGGTGGGGCTTTTCAGAGCTGGGTGAATCTAAGGGAGTGTGATGCTAGGATTAAGGGTGTGTGGTACTGTATTAGTTCATCAATTGGTTTACCACAGTTCTGGATGTGGAAATGGAAAGGCCCTCCCTGGGTGTAGGTGGCATCGTCCGAAAGGCTGGTAGCCTGGTTGGGATCAGGGGAAGGGAAGCTTGCTATTTGTTATTTGCTGCCTTCTGCTTGCTACACCATGGACTATTTCTCCTCAGTGACGTTTCTTTGGTACGTCGCCCTGCCTTAGAGCCAGCTGACTATGGACTGAACCCTCTACAAACTGTGCGCGAACTAAACCTTTCCTTCTTTACCTTTGGGTCGGGTATTTTGTCTCAGGAAAATCACTAAGACATTTACTTTTATTTTTCTTTGTTCTTTTCTACTGACTGTTGCTCTACTTTGTCCCTTCTACTGAGGGTCTCCCACTAACTGTATGTACACGGATATGCTACTGTGCCACAGGCTTCCACGGCTCTTTTGACTTTTCTTCAATTTTCTCTTCTCAGTTCCCCTGTGCTTCAGGCAACATAAATTTTATTGATCTGTCTTCACAGTCACTGATTTATTCTGCCACCTCAAAGCTACTGTCAAGCGCATCTAGTGAATGTTTAATTTTAGTTACTGTCCTTTTTAGGTCTAAACTTTTGTTGAATCTTTTGCTGAATAAACATCTCTTCACGGAAATACTTTATGGAGTATCTGTAGTTTTACTTCCCTTTAATCCTTTAAACATGGTATCCTTTAGTTCTCTGAAAATCTTATAATAGCTGTTTTGATGTCTTTGTCTGCTAAAACCAACATATGGAGACACTTAAGAGACCATTTGTACTGTCTGTTTCTTTTCCCTGAGTATATGCCACACTTCTTTATTCCTCTGTATATGTATACATTTTGGTTGAATGCTGGACATTTTGGGTAACAGAGCAGCTTCAGGTTCTGAGGCTGCCTTCCACTTGATGGTGGCTGATGTCAGGTTTGTTTTAGTGACTTCATGGCTTAAAAGTTTCTTTCCCCTGCTAGGTATGGCCACCGATGTCCCTACTCCATTACTGTCAGTTTAGCTTTTACTAATTTTAAGCACTTCAGTGTTTAGCTGAAGACTGATCAGACGTCTCAAGCCAATAAGATTTCTACTCCCTACTGCTGGGACTTGCATGTTGACAGGGAGTGCATTGAAAGTTAAAGTCTTGCACGATATTCCCTGAGATTTATTTCCACCATGACTTGCAAATCTCCTTTCACTACCATTAGGCTCCCTTGACCGGGGGTGTGGGTGGTGTCACCTCCTTTTCTGTACTGCTCACGCCCACAGCCTCCATCAACTTGGGAAATGCTGAGTATTTATCAAGCTTCCCTGACTGCCTGAGCTCTTGGAATTCTTGGTTAAACCCCATTAATCCATGCATTTATTGCCTGTCCCAAACTGTACAACCTCAGACTAGTATAGTCATTGGTCCTTCCTGTTCACCCCCCACCACAATCACGTTTTAGCTTACAATACTCTGCATCGAATGATCTGTTTCAGCACAGGTAACAAAGCTGCTGGTTTTCAAGAATGGCACCATCATGGTTCAAATTCCATACCAACATACTGGGGGTAAGGAAGAAGGCAAGACAGCCCCAGAGAAAAACCACAAAGATTCACCTTAAATGCAGTAATATTTATGAAAATGTTTCTTAGTTTAGTTTGGTTAATCTCCAGAACACTACTTTGACTATTTTGTCTAGCTTTCTGAAGAGCTTTCTGCAAAAAATGATCAAATCTTCTCACTCTTTTTAAACATACCCTGTATTGCTATCATCCAGTTGTAGTTCAACTACACCAAATCTTGGAGATAACTTTTACTGAATTAACTCTGAGGTAACATTGTGCTACACTTTAGGAAGTGTCCTCTAAAGACTCATGTATTGAGAGCTTGATCTTCAGGGCAACAATGTTCAAGCAGTGGAGCCTATAGAGATGACTGGACCTTGAGGATTAACACACTGATGGGTTCAAAGCTGGACTATGAATCCAATAAGAAGTGGGGTCCAGTTAGAGGAAGCAAATCAGTGGGGCCATGCCTTTAAAACATACATTTTGTTTCTAGTCCCTTCCACCCCCTACTTCCTGTCTGTGTGTCTGTCTCTCCCTCTCTCTCCCACCCTTTCTGCTGTTTGGCTAACGTAAACTGAGCGACTTTCTCTTACCATGCCCTTAATATCATAATGCTTCTGCCTTACCACAAGCCTCAAAGCAATGGAGCCAGATGACCATGGACAGAAACCTCTGAATCTATCAACAAAAATAAACCTTTTTTCCCTTAAACTGTATGTTGGGTATTTTGTTCCGGTAACAGAAAGATGCCTAATACAAAATTGCAAGTTCAATTTTTTTATTATTTACATTCTGTCAATGGATCTGTAGTTCTGCTTTAAAATCTAGATATATTACGGTCTACACTTCCTTTCTTCTTTGTAGCTTTGGGAATAAACTAATTTTGTGCATATGTGTTTGTGTATGGGTTAGATAGGAGTTACGAATTTCTTTATATGTGTAACATAACTCTGCTTAAGATGTAATAAAATCACATGCATAATCATGTTCCTAGACTACCTATTCAGTTCACACAGAATAGTATATGACATCTACACATTAACATACAGAATATGAAAATGATACTAAGTCTGGAAGTTAGGTATATAAAAAACATTTGAGAAACATGTCAGTGTTTACACTGAAAAAAAAAAAAAACTTACGGCTATGGCAGACTTTCAAAAATTTAAACTAGACCTAATGTTGACCCAGAGGGCAGAGTCAAAACTAAGTGTTATAATTCTGAGATCATATATATATACATAGAGAGTCTGCCGAAAATATGTATACAGGCTTCAGCAAAAGAAAAACACTATGATGTTTTATCAACAGATGGTGTTACCCTCACCTGGGGGACCCTGGAGGATGTCATATATCACAGAAAACCTACTACGCTGCTGGCCCTTAGAGAAGAAATTGAAAATGACCAATAACCAAGGTTACCCGAGCAGCCATTTTTACGAATAAATGTCTCTAAGTTAATGGCCACCACTGTGAACACCTCTCATAATTGTAGAGGGCAAAGGTAACTTGTATTAACCTCATGATATCTCAATAAATTTAGTATTAAAATATTTATACAAGTTCTTTTTCTGAAGTGTACATTTTGACAGACTCTCTACATACATACACAGCCAGGTGTGGCGGAGCACGCCTGTAATCCCAGCACTCAGGAGGCTGAGGCAGGACGATCATTGCTAGTTCGAGGCCAGCCTGGGCTACTGTGAGCTCAAGGCCAGCCTGAAATGCACAGTGAGACTCTGTCTCAAAAAAAAAAAAAGTAGAAATAGAAAACGCTCTGGCTGCTATAGCTTAAAAATAAGCAAGATGAAAGGGCAACAAAAGGTAAGTAAAATGAACACAAGATAGAGATTATTACATAAAATTTAAGTTCACTCTAGATATGCTACAGTTGACTGGGTGCATAGCAAATATTCATGAAGGTCAAAAAGGACACAAATAAGGAAAACTCGGACTTGTTGACCAAAATGTGGAGCTCAACTTTGAAATGCTCAAAGAGGTAAGGTTAGGACAAAGAGAAGAGTTATACCCAGGAAACAAGAAAACAACCCGCTAGAAACACAACAGGCCACGGATGGAAACGGACATACTTACCTCTTTGAGCTGGTCCGCGCTCCCCCATGACGCGGACCGCTGATGGGACCGCTTTTCTGTTCCCTCCTCTGCCCAGCAGCTAGGTGTCTTTAAAATAAATAGAAAATAGAAAAAATAAAGAAATGTGACAGTACTCATAATCTCAAGGAACTAAAAGGCAATTCAAATTCTCAGCACATACAAGTTACGGAGTTATACTAAACGCCTTTAAACACTGAGATTTTTCACGACCCCATAAAACGCTTACAACGCTGCCATATTCTGAATGAGACACGATCACTCCATCTTGAGTGATCTTGCTTGAAAACACTTGATATTTTCACATCAACATTAATAAGTTAAACTTACCAAATTCAAAGAAAATTATAAAGGTTTATTAGTGCTTTTATTTTTAATAGAGACTAGCTGAACTGAATATAAAGTAGTATGGCTACTAAACACAGTGAAAGAAGATGAACAGAATTACATCAGACGCAGTTCTATATAGCAGACTTACACATCAAATATATAACTAGATAGAGGGCTGAGTATATTAGTCTTCTGGAACTTGGGAAAGAATATTATGTTAGTATCTTTGATGGAAGATGACACATCTTTATATTAAAAATAGTTATTATAAGCTAGGTACAGTGGCACATGCCTGTAATCCCAGCTGCTAAGGAGGCTGAAACAAGAAGATTGCAAGTCTAAAGCCAGCTTGGGCAACTTAGGAAGACCATGTCTCAAAATAAAAATGCCTGGGGATGTAGTTAAGTAGCAGTTCAACCCCCAGTACTGTAAAGAAAAAACACAGTTACTACAAAATTCAATGAGAAAAAGGTTAAAAATATAGAATTTAAACTAAAACACTGGTTTTACTTAACTGTTAATACATACAGTATCTAAATGTGACACCAAATTACAGATAATGTTATAAAATACTAAGAAAAGAAACTGTATTTAAAATCAAATAATATTAAAATACTATCCTTAATAAAACAGAAGATTCAGTGTAATGTAATTTAAAGAAAGTAAAAAAGTCACTATGTAAAGACAGACAATGGGTAGTAATTATCACAGCATATATGGCTTTAAAATTTGATTACATAGCAAAAGAAATTATTTACATTAAAGCTTCACTTCAGAATCTGCATTATAATATAAGCTCTCAGAAGGTGCCAGTTCTATTTTATATAACTCAAAATATTGTATTTTATATCTCAAAATTATTGAAGCTGTTTAAATAACTACCATCTCTTAAAAGCAATGATACCCCAAAATTGAATGTCAGTTGAATTAAAAACTGAAATAAATTACTTAAAGAGTTCACTACTAATAAAAGCTGTCCAGTCAACTGAGAGAACATTTTATTCACCTGGCCAAGTGTGAGGATAAGCGTATCAAAGAAGCTGCTTGCAAAACCTAAAATCTGCTCAGGTCAATCCTAGGTAATGCAAACTCATCTGAAAATAACTGAACTCTCTAAATAATCATATCCTTAATAATTTATTGTGAAATGATTCAATTATAACAGTCTTAGTCAAAATTTTATTTTGAAAATCTATACACCTGAATAGTTTTACCTATTGAGTAGCTCTGTCTTTGCCAAGAAGCAACTAAGGGTCACGATCTATGTAACTCACTAGTCCATGTACAGAAAATGAGCCGAACGCCTACCGTGCCCCATCCTTAAATCAACAGTAACATTCACAGCGTCGTGTCCGTTTCGTACAAGCCTCTCTTCTTCAAAGAATGTCTATCTCCAACTCAAGTAAGTCAATAGCCACAGAATTTTTGCAGCTGTTTTAATTATTGCCAGTTTGCCAATGGCAAACAGACCCGAATCTGAGGCTTCTTATCTGAGAGCACCTTCTTCACACTAGCATTCTTTTCTGTTTTTTTAGTAACAGCTTTATTGAATTACAATTTATATACCACACAATTTAAAAAGTTGAAGTGTAAGTAGATTTCAGTAGAATTTAGCACACTGACGAAGCTGTACAACCATGATGATAATCAAATTGAGATCATTTTTGTTAACCCACAACAAAACAATCTACCCACTAGCTATCATCTCCCAATTCCTCCGCCCTACATCTAGGCAACCACTGAGCTACTCTCTATCTTCACAGATTTTCCTATTCTGGGAATTCTTGTTTCTTACTCAAAATAGTCCATGTGCTGGGCATAGTGACACACACCTGTAATCCCAGCACTCAAGAGGCTAAGCCAAGAGAACTGTCATGAGTTCGAGGTCAGCCTGAGCTACGAAGTGAGATCAAGGCCAGCCTGATCTAGCAAAATCCTGTCTCAAAAAGCCAAAAAAAAAGCCCACGCTCATAGCAACAATAAAGACCTTAACATATCTAAACAAATGCAATCCTGCAAAGGATTAACTCTCACACCATATTGGAGTGAAACTAAAAACCAACAGCTGAAACATACTTAGAATTCCACTGGGCATGGTGGTGCACGCCTATAATCCCAGGACTCTGGAGGCTGAGGCAGGCGGATCACTGTGAGTTCGAGATCAGCCGGGACAATATAAACAAGTTAAAGGCAGTCTGAACTATATAGTGAGACCCTGCCTCAAAAAAAAATACAGTGACTTTTTTTCTTCTCATTTTCCCTATTAACTTTTTCATATAAGGGAAACCATGTGCTCAAGATCATGTATCTGACTTCACCTGACATTACAGTTTCCAGGTGCATCGATTTCCTTACACGTGCCTCACGTTTATCTTTCTTTATGGCAGAGCAGTATTCCATTATATATAAATACCACATTTTCTTCATTCATTCATTTGCTGATGGACATACAGGCTGTCTCCAAGATTTAGCTATTATGAACTGTGCATATACCATAAACACGGGTACACATATACCACTGTGGTACAATGTATTAACTCTTTTGGGAAGATACCTAAAAGGAGAATAGCTGGGTCAAGCGGAATTTCTGTTTTTAGGGTTCTGAGGAATTTTCATAGAGGCTGCACCAATTTACAATCTCAACAGCAACACAGAAGGGTCCCTCTCCCCCCACAGCCTCTCCAGCATTTGTTATTGGTTGATTTCTTGACAGCAGCCATCCTTCCTGGGTCGAGCTGGAATCTTAATGCTGTTTTAATTAACATCTCTAAAATGGCCAGTGACGTTGAACATGTTTTCATGTATTATTGGCCAACTGCACTTCACCTGAAAGGTATCTATTTACTCCACATGCCCATTTGGGATTGGATATTTAAATATGGGGGGAGTTGATTTTTTCGAGTTTTTAATATACTCTACATGTTAGTCCTTTGTCAGAAGAGTAGCTGTCAAATTTTTTCCCCATTCTGTAGGTCTCTTCACCCTGCTGGTGAATGGGATCCCATCTGCTGATTCTTGGCATTGCTTCTTGCGCAGCTGAGGTTTTATTCAGAAAGTCTCTGTCTACACCCATGTCTTCCACAGTTTCACTTATTTTGTCTTCTAGAAGATTTAGTGTTTCTGTTCTAATGCTGAGATCGACAGCCTCTTTAACTGCCGAAGGCTGAATTTAAACCCCTCTCACCATACACTAAACTAGCATTCTTTTCTTGAAAATGAAATGTGAAAATCAGTTTGATAATTTCAAAATGTGGTGTTAGTTATACAAAAGAAAACAACTAACAAGTGAAGAATGTTTAGGGCCATAGAATAATTTAGTAGGATCTCGTTTTTAAAAGTGAAAGAACACTGGGTGTGGTGGCACACCCTTGTAATCTCAGGGCTTGGGAGAATACTGCAGGAAGAGTTCGAGGTCAATCTGGGCTACGTATGTAGTGAGTTCAAGGTCAGCCTGAACTACACAGTTAGACCCTGTCTCAACACGCCTCCTCCGAGAGAAAAAGCTCCTAGAAGAGCTCTCAGTCATGTGATTAGAAAGTTATAAACATATAAACTGCAAAAGCAGATTCATCAAAATCCCAGCTTTGCACTTTTTTTCTGGTACCAGGAATCGAACTCAGGACCTTGAGCTTGCCAGGCAGGCACTTATGCTGCTGAGCTATATCCCTTGCTCAGCTTTTCAAAACTACTGCCCTAATTTAATTTTAATCATACCTATTTATCTATTTATGAAGGTGCTTTGAGATGAGTTCTTGCTATGTAGTTCAGGCTGCCTTGAACTCATTATGTAGCCTAGGCTGGCCCTGAACTTGCAGTGATCCTCCTGCCTCAGGCTCCTGAGTGCTGGGATTAGAGATTTGTGTCACCACCTCTAATTATTTATTTTTAATTTAAAATAAGTAATATAAAAATGTCCTTGTCTGCAAATATATTCTACAGACTGCACTGTCCAATACAGCAATTCTTATCACACACAGCTATTTACATTTCAATCAAGGAATTTCACATGCAATTAATTCAGTTTGTAAATCACGCTAGCATATTTTGAATGCTCAATAAATGCACGTGCTACTGGCTATGGGCTGCCGTATGGAACAGTACAGATACGGACCATTTCCAACAGTAAGTTCTAGGCATTTGATTACTGATTTCCAGCAGGCTATTTTCTGCAAAGAGAAAGTAACAGTGGCTATGCTGTTTTCAAATCTATTTAAACTGATGGCTGAGAAGTCATGGAAGGTAAACTGATTTGAACCTGACTTGTTAAACCTGAGCATTTAAAAAATGTTTAAAAGTTTGAATTAAGAAAATCACCACACAACATAGCAAAAGTTCTTTCCTTTCGTTTCAGCAAACAGCCCCTTCAACCAGTTATACTGTGTGCTTTCTAGACCAGAACTTTTAAATGTTACTTATAACCTTGTTCCTGGGTGTCACTAACAATGTGAGATAAAAGAGTTCCAAGGTCTAATGAATTTGAGGGAGATCGTGTATGTTTCTCTACCCCATGTATAATATGCGCTCCAAAAGCTCAGACTCTCTCTTACACACACACACACACACACACAGACGTGCACACACACAAATACACTTTTCAAAAACCTGCTTAACTCATTACTTCTATGATGCCAGAACACTTATTTGATAAGTGTACTTATTAACATCTGCAAAGCACAATCCATAGATACCTTGGAAAGAAATATAGTTCCTTGATGATTTTATTATAGTATGTAATAGCT